CACAATCTGATAAAAGCCATCTATGACAGTCCAACAGCATCATATTAATGGTCAAAAACTGAAAGTTTTCACTGTAACATCAGGAAAAAGTCAAGGCTGTCCACTATCACCACTCCTATTCAATATAGTGCTAGAACTGTTAGAGCAATTAGACAAGAGAGAGAAATAAAAGGAATAAGGATGAGAATGGAAGAAAAATTATCATTATTTGCAGATAACATGATACTCTACATAGAACACCCCCAAAACTCCATTGAAAGGCATTTAGATGTAATAACTAATTTCAGGAATAAAGCTGGATACAAAGTCAGCACTCAAACATCAATAGCATTCCTGTACACAAGCAATAAACTCACACTGAGAGAAATTAAAGAAATCACACCCTTTGCAATAGCATCCAAAAAAATGAAATACCTAGGAACCAATCTAAAAAAGGAAGTAAAAAAAGAATTATACAGTGAAAATTACAGTACTCTAAAAAAATCAAAGAACATTGCAGAAAATGGAAAGACATTCCTTGTTTATGGATAGGAAGAATAAACATTATTAAAATGGCCATTGCCCCAAAATTGTTATACAGATTTAATGCAATTGTAATCAAAATACTATTTGTATACCTCACAGACCTAGAGAAATCGTTCCGAAAATATATCTGGAACCAGAAGAGACCTAGAATAGCAAAGGCAATTCTGGGCAACAAAGGCAAGGTAAGAGGCATCACAATCCCTGACTGGAAGTTTTACTACAAAGCTACTGTGATAAAATCGGCATGTTACCGGGAATAATACCAGACCTGAAGACCAATGGAATAGATTAGAAAATACAATCACAACTACAAACACACTCAACCACCTTATCTTTTACAAAGGGACCAAACATGAACACTGGAAGAAAGACAGTCTCATTAATAAGTGGTGTTGGAAAAACTGGCTCTCCACATAACAAAAACTAAAAGTAGACCAACGCCTATCATCATGCATTCAACTAAAGTCAAAACTGATCAAAGATCTAAATATTAAAAAAGAAACACTGAAATTTAGTTTTATTAAAAATGTTTTTGCATGTCAAAAGAAATCTCCAATAGAGTGAAAAGAAAACCCACAAATTGGTAAAAAGTCTTAATTCTTCCTCAGACAGAAGACTTCTATCTAGAACATATAAAGAAGCAAAAAAAAAAAAAAAATCAGTCCCCAAAGTTCAAAGACCCAGTCCAAAAATGGGCATCTGAGAAAAATACTCATTTTCTAGCTGAAGAAATACAAACGGGAAATAAATATCAGAAGAAATGTTCAACATCATTGGTTATTAAAGAAATGAAAATTAAAACAGCACTGAGATTCCATCTCCAGAAAGAGTGACCAGAATCAAGAAAACAACCAATAACAAATGCTGGAGAGGCTATGTGAGAAAAGGAACTCCTCTGCACTGTTGGTAGGAGTGTAGACTGGTGCAACCACTGTGGAAATCAGTGTGGAGGTCCCTCAAAAAGCTGGGGTTGGAAGTCCCATTTGATCCAGCTATCCCATTTGGGGACATATTCCCAGAAGAATAGAAAGCATCACCCCAAAGTGACATAGGTGCATCTGTGTTTATGGCAGCACAATTTGTGATAGCCAAATCTTGGAAATGACTCAAATGCCCATCAACTGAGGAATGGATAAAAAAGAGTGGTATTTTTATACAATGGAGTGCTACTCAGGTATAAAGAATGACCACACTGAGGCTTTTATGAATAAATGGATACGATTTAAGACCATAGTCGTAAGTGAAATAAGTCAAGCTCACATGTGTAAATTCTGTTCTCTCCCTGATGTAAGAAACTGAAAGCATAAACAAGATCCAAAGTCTTCAATAAATATTGTGTTAAGAAATTGCTCAAAGGGCAAAAATAACTTCGATAGGGAAAAGGAGACAAGAAGCAAGGGAAAAGAAACAAGATATAATTTTGTATGTATACTCTTAAGAAAGCTAGGATGATTGTACTACTAATTCTATTAGTGCTTGGGACAAAGTTGTTATGTTCATAGGATTAAATCAGTTTTGCATGTCTATAGTTAGTAATCTGAGTAAGTCTTTTGAAGATAACTAAGCCAAATAACCTGTTAAATTCCTATCACCTTGTTTTGAAAGCCTATATTGTTATTGTTCTGGGGGTTTTTGTTATTGCTGTTTGTCTCTTTTGTTTCTTCTTTTTCTTGTGTTTTTTTTCCTTTTTCCCCTTAAAATAAAAAAAAAATTGAGTGCCTAAAATTTCCAATATTTCCTGTGAAGACTACTTAAGAGAATCAACTGAGACAAAATACTATAACTAACTAAAGGACTTAGGATATTTGAACACAATATAGTCACAAAATTCAATAATTGTTCTATTAACCAGGAAACAGGAATTATAATTTTGACATATAAATTACAATTTTTAATTCAAAAGCATAAAAATATAGAATTGTCAAGTCTATTCTGACAAGACTTCTACAAACATTTTTTTGCTGAAGTCTTTAAAAATTTATAAAGAATGTAAAGGAATTGTTGAATAAATGAAGATACATATAATTAATTGAATCAGTTCAATGTTTTTGAATGTGAATTACCTTTAAAGAGTCTCTAAACTAAATATAGTCCTGCTGAGGATCACAACATATTTTATTGGAATTTGATTACTTGGTGCGAAGGTTTCATATATAAATGTCTGTATATAAAAGCACATAAGAAATTATGGAAATGTTTAGATGCATTACAGCAATATGGAAAAGAGTTTCTTTCCCCACACAAAAAAGTTTCTTCAGAGTTTGAGTGCCCAGAATTAGAAGATTAGGTCAATGATGCAGAGGAAAGACTTGAAAAACAAATTCCTATACATATGAGAGCTTATTACACAGAAACGCAATATTTAAAACCAGTGAGTAGAATGTTGATTTTTTTCAATAAATGTTGCTGTCATCATTGGTGATACATTTAGAAAAATTTGTATCAACATTTCCCAGCCATTTTGGCACCAGAGAATGGGGCCACTATAGGGTTTTGATATAATAATCCTGCAAGCATCTGATTTATTATGATCTCTTTGCAGTCAAACCTCTTTGTTAATGTCAACCTGCATTTGGAGCTACTCCCGAGGGCTAATATCATCACCACAACTTCACCTCAGATCATTAGGTATTACATTCTTCATAAGAAGCACTCAGCCTCAACTTCCTGTGCAGTTGTGATCCTATGAAAATCTAATCTGACAAGAGGCAGAGTTCAAGTGACAACAGCTAGGTGCTATAAATACACACTAAAGTTTCCCTTCCTTGTCTGGTCCTCACCAGTACCTATGTTGCCCAGAAGCTAACAGGCCACAGAATGGTTCTAATGGAGAACGCTTGATATATATGACATAAAACAATGATCCCTATGGTTATAATATCTTAATGTAAGACATTTAGTTATAAAAACCCTAGAAGGAAACAGATGTGGTGGCACATGCCTGTGATCTCAGCACTTGAGAGACTGAAGTGGGAGGATTGTTGCAAGTTTGAGACCAGCCTGGGCTACACAGTGAGCTCAAGGCCAGCCTGAACTGTGTAGCAAGACCCTGTCTCAAAAAGACAAAAAAGAAACAGACAAAAACACAAGAAAAAATATCTGGAAATGTATTACCAAATTTGGAATGGGAAAAATTTTTTGTAAGCAATAAAGTATTTTATGAACACACACACAAAAAAAGACTGGTAAATTTGACTATGACTAATACAAATAAGCCGAAAGTAGAAGTGAAGAACAAATATTGGAAATATTTGAAGCATGTTAAATGGCAAGTGGTATCTATAATGTGGAAGAAATATTTATCAGCCAATAAGAAAAAGAGAAAAAGTAGATTAATAAAGAATACAAAAAGCTGCATTTTAATGAAGAAACAGGAATTACTATAAATGTACAAAAATATCCTGTGTATTTATAATAAGAGAAACACATATAACATCTTCAGATTTTGTACTGAAAAACAAAACTTCATCCAGTAACAGAGACAGTCTGGACTATATCTTGCTATAAGTGTAAGTCACCTATTACAATGGCAGTTTAACAATATTCATCAACATTACAAAAGCAAACATTTCTGAACTAGCTATTCACCTTCTAAGACTGCTGAAAAAGCATTGTGTGTACAACGGCACATAAATATCCCATTTGAAACCTTAAGGAATAGGTAATTATCTCTAAATTTTCATGATTAAATTATGCTATAGTCACTCCACAGGAAACTGTTCACCTGTGCCAAAGCACAAGGCATAGTCAGACAAATGATAAACGAGGAAGAGTTTTGCCCTAACTATTTCTTGGGATTCAGTCATACAAGAGCTATAGTACATGTGATCAACTCATAAGATTATAAAAATACTTCTTTACTCATCAAATTTTCCTTGGCTCTTTATAGAGAATTCTACTCCACTACAGAAAGAAATACAGAGGACTTCCTCTGGCTCTATCTTTATGGTACTGTTCCACTTTCTTTTAGGTGTAACCTTCTCCCAATGATGCCAATCTTCTTCCAAAGAGAAAAGTTGCTCAGTGCAAGGTAATGGGACTTAGTCAAGCGCATTTTCCATACCACCTGGAATACCAGGACCTGACTTTCTATTCATTCACAGACTCAGTGTTTGCCTAGCACACTGTGCACCAGGGTTACGAGACGGAATAGTGGCATGAGGTAAAAGGAAGAGAATCAGGTATTAACTGTAACGACATCATACACAATTGTTTTATACTTCTCAGGTCCTTTATGTATTTGTAATTGAGAGGGCCTGGGCTAAACAAAACAAAGATAAACCCAAACCTGCAAAATACCTCCTCTTCAAGCCATTCAGTTCCCATGTGGAAAACAGATAACATCATTCCTTAACTACCATAGGCCATAATTACAACGACAATTGGAAATCATTCCATTCCATAGTGACTAATTTCTCCTGTCCTATACAGAAAATTGTCAAGAACCAGAATTTTCTTAAGAAAGCATTACTCACCTCACATGGAGTGGGATGTCGGGCACCTTGGTAGAGACTTCGAAGTGGGCTCTGTCCCCAGAGACATCAGTGAAGTACACTCCAGCGATGCTTGTCACCAGATTCCCAGGGAAACTGGACAGCACTTTGCCACAGCCGTGCTGACTGGCCCACTGGCAGGCCTGGCCCCCAATGAGCAAGCCCCCACCATTTTTCACAAACTGGATGAGTTTCTCAGTCAAGGTGTCATGGTAGGCACTGATACAGTAAGCCCCCCGGGGCTCCCCAGGTTCTGCCACAGTCTGTGCCTCCACCCCGGCATTCTTCAAGATGTTCACTAGGGGTTCCAAGGATGGGTGCACCCTAGTGGGAGCTTCAGGGGAGACACGGAGCCAAGCCACTGCATTGGCAAGAAATGGAGCCAAGCCAGCATGCAACAAGTAGTCTTCATGGGATACGACGACAAGGCGACCCTGGCCATAGGAGGAGGCAGCAATGAGCACCTGGCCCTTGTCATTCACCATCACTGGGAAGGAGGCCTTCCCGATGAGGAGGAGCTCACTGGGGATGGGGTCTGTGGGGACATCCCAGCTTGTTATTCCATTCATGAGGGCCTGGAATGCTTCAGAGGGAGTCATCGCCATGGTTCTATCAGCTGCTACAAAAGGAAGAAAAGACAGTACAGTGAAGGAAGGTGAAAAAGTTTCCATTTGTATTCTGAGGACACGGGATCTTCAGACAGAATAGCTATGGTACTATTCTATTTGGAAGCCCGGATGAGCAGGGGCTCACAGGAGAGCCCACTCTGCTGGCTGCTCTGCCTAATTAAATAGTACCTTTGTAACTACTGAGCTGGATAAGGAGAGGAAAGGAGGTGATCTTTTTTTTTTTTATTTTGAGAAGCAAAGAGGCTAGACAAGGGCTTCAGAATTTCAGCAGTCTCTCAGTCTTTGTGAGGTGTAGTACATAGTTGGTTTTCAAGTAATTGAAAGATTCAGTTAACCCCTCTAGCAATTTAAGGAAAATACGATGAAGCTTACTTGCTCTGAGGTATCTTTGAGCACCTGATAACATATCCTCTGCCTGGCTGGTCTATCTCTCTATTTGTAATCGGTGAGCTGGCCATAGACATCTGCAATCACTCATTCTCAGGTATTTTATTTTCACAACGAAACAGACTAAGACACAGTATTACCACAAACCCAAGGCTCATAAACCCCAACTGCTACATACAGAAGAAGGATGTTGGCCCTACCTCCCTCCCTCTCTCCATGCCTGCACAGCAGGGAAATTTGTATTCTGAAAGTCAGAGAAGCTCACCTGGATATCTTGAGACTATAGCTCAGACCTTCTGGATAGAGAAGAGACCCTTGGATAGAAGTAATGTATGAGTAGTCTGGAGACTATATATTGGCAAGAAAGTGTAATTATTTCTAGTGTATCCTTCTTCCTGGTTCCTGTTGGATGGGCTGTGTTTGACTTGGAGACTTCCCTGAACACACATGGGACACTCACGTAGTGTTTCTTGTAGGTTCCTGAACCAGTTCTCTTGGTGTTTGAGTCTATAACCAGCCTGAAGTACTGCAGCCATCAGTTATCTTAGCTACCCCAATTGCTCTCTAGCTGTCAGCTTCATACTCTGTATAATAGTATTTCCCAGCCGCTAGGAGAGGAATCTCTGAAAAGTTTCTATGACATTCAGCAGTAAGCATAAATAATTATTCTTAGAAATGGTGGCTTGTCAAGGCAAAGCCTTTTATAAATGAGCAAAAAGAGTAAGGGCTGCAGTTTCTCTGGCCATGCCCCAGTACAGGGTCTTTGAAGGAAATTCATTTCACCTTTGCTTCTGTGCTGGAGGAAGATGGGTCAGATAATGAGCTTGCTTAGCAGAAAAATTAGAAATGGGTTAGCACTGTAAAATGTATACTCATGAAAGTTAGTGTTAGTGAAGAAAATGCAATGAGAAAGCAATAAGTAGTGTTAGAAAAGGAAAGAGAAGGAGAGTACAGTAAGTGAACCACCATTGTGTGGACATAGAAAATGGTGGTATAAAACCATACCCTCCAGAAAGCAGAAAAAAGGAAATCGAGAATCTGAGAGTAGACATTATTTAATGAAGGAAAGTAGATATACTCAAGCTTCAGGTTAGTTCTTTGAAAAAATTTTTCTCTGGTGAGGCCAATCAACGAAAAAAGCAGAAGGAAAAGAACAAAAGTAACTAAGGTTGGGAATGAAAAGGAAGAAAACCAGGAATTGCAGTGATCAAATTGTAGCATGAGAATATAATAAACACATTTAAGCTACTGCAGTTGGAAATTTAGACAAAATGAGATTACTGAAATAAAAATATTGCTTTCAAAAATGTATTGAGTTAAGAAAAAAAGCAGGGGAAACGAAAAAAATATATATATATAAGAGCTAAGATAGCTATATTACTGACATCTCAGGTCATTGAAAAAAAGTTTGTGCTTACATTGTTTGATCAATTATGCATGCCTCTATCTTGTAATCTGAACAACTATTTTGAAGATAACACAATATGTTAACCACTGTCAATTTTTTAATATCTTGTTTTGAAATTCTGTGCCATTTTTAAAATTTTTCCCTTTACAATGAAAATACTGAAGAGTAATTGCCTATCTGTGACTATCAAGGAAACATTATAGGTAAATAAAAATAAATTTTATTATAAATAAAATTCCAGACACCATGTCTGGCTAGTTCTTTTAAATTCCAAAAGAACAGATAATTTTAATCTCTTGAAACCCTTTCAAAAAATGAAAATAAGGAACATTCAATAACTTATTTTGTAAGGAAAGATGTAATGTGATATCAAAACATATTAAGGACAGTAAAAAAGAGAAAATCACAGGTCAACTGAGATTTGAAATATAAATAAGAATTCTAAAGATGGTAAAATTAGAAACAATAACTTATATGTACCAGAATGTATATGATTATTTCAGTTATGCCCAGCACTCAACACTGACAGTCAATGAATGATTCCATCTATGTTGACAGGTGGAGAAAGGAAAAACATAGTATTTTCAGTAGTTAAACAAATTCACTTTATTAAGGTCTAGTTTCTTCTTAAAATATCCCTAATAGACTGGTAAGTGGGCCCAGAGATGGAGGGATGGAGGACTTTGCGGGGAGTGTAATGAGAGAAGACTGAAGATGTGTTACGTACATGTCCTAATCCTGCCTGAAAAATGCGGTCACTTTGCACTACAAGCATACAGGTAAAAAATAAAAATTAAAAAGAATTTTTTATAAAATGAACACAACAAACTTTTCTAATCTAATAATGTATATATAATATATGTATATATATAAACACTAACCCACTTAACATAATATGTCCCAGCATACACCTGTTCTTGCAAAAGACAGAATTCTATACTTTTATATTGTTGACTAATGTTTAATTGTATATATGAACCATATTTTCTTTTCTTCAGTTATCTATTAATAATGACCCTGTATCTTGGTTATTGTGAATAGTCCTGCAACAAACACAAGAGCGCAGATTTTTTAAGTATATTGATTTAATTTCTTTAGAATATGCATACTCATACAGTAGTGAAGTTGGTGGATTATATGACAGTACTATTTCTTGCTTTTTGACACTTTCATATAGTTTTCCTTGCTCTACCAACATAGTAATATATCAGCTGACACTACATTGTGAATTCCCCCTTTTCTAAATGCACATCAGCATTTGAGATTTTTAAAAAATCTTTTTTGTAATAAACATTCTAAATTGAGTAAGGGGAAACCACATTGTAGATCTGATTTTCACTGCCCTGCTGATTATTAATGTTGAGCATTTTTTACATAGTTGTTGAGCCTTTACATATATTTTCTTTGGAAAATATTTATGTCATTGGCCAAAATTAAAGTATATTATGTTGTTATAACTTGCTGTTGAGTTTTTCTAGTTTCTTACATATTCTTAATGTCAATACATTGTTGATGAATACCTTGAAAATATTATTTTTGTGGTTCCTTCAGACTGCTGCTTCTTTTCTTGTGCAGAAACTTTCTTTGATATAAACCCATCTTCCAGTTTTTGCTTTTTCTGTGTATGCTTTGTAGTCAAATCTACAAAGCTTTTCCTTATACCATGAAGCATTTCCTGTGTGTTTGCTTCTAGTAGTTTTACAGTTTTGGTCTTTAAATTTTATTCATGATGAGTTCACTTCTATAACTGGGGAGGGGTTAGAGTCTAGTTTATTTCTCTTGCAAATGGATATGCAGTTCTCTCAGCACCATTTATTGCAGAGAACTTTCTTTATCAAATGTATGTGCTTAGAGCCATTCTCAAATATCAATAGGCTATAGGTACATGGCACATGTTTTTACTTACCTCTGGTTCTCTTTTCTGTTCTACTGGGACATGTGGATTTTAGTGGGTATTCCTTTCATTTTGTTTGTTGTTTTAGGTCAATATTGTGCTATTTAGGCTTCTATATCTTTGACCTGAGGTTTTGTAATGCATTCAGTTTTGTTCCTTTGGTCTTACTTTTATATATATTTAATGTATTTTGTTCTTCCATGTTCACATTAAGAATATTTTTAAGGATACAAAATCATATTCAAAAATCAATAGCATTCCTATACACTAACAACAAAATCACAGAGAGAGAATTAAGAGAAGCTACACCCTTTATACTAGCAACCAAAAAAATGAAATATTTAGAAATTACTCTCATGAAAAAAGTGAAAGATCTATACAGGGAAAATTATAATACACTGAAGAAAGAAATTGAAGATGATCTCAGAAAATGGAAAGACATCCCTTGCTCATGGACAGGAAGAATAACTATTGTGAAAATGGCCATTATCCCAAACCTGTTATACAGTTTCAATGCAATCCCAATAAAAATACCATCAACATACCTCATAGATCTCGAGAAATCACCCCTACAATTCATCTGAAGTGAGAAGAGACCTAGAATAGCAAAGACAGTTCTAAGCAGCAAAGGCAAGGCAGGAGGCATCACGATCTCTGACTTGAAGTTATACTACAAAGCAATTGTAATAAAATCAACATGTTACTGGAATCAAAACAGAGCCGAAGATCAATGGAATAGATAAGAAGAAACAACCACAACCATAAACACACTCAAGCACGTTATCTTTGATAAAGGGGCCAAACAGGTTCACTGGAAGAACAACAGTCTCTTTAATAAATGGTGTTGGAAAAACTGGATCTCTATATGCCGAGAACTAAAATTAAACCCATGCTTTTCAACATGTACTAAATTAAAATCTAAATGAATCAAAGATCTGAATATTAAAACAGAAACGCTAAATCTATTGGAAGACAAATTAGGTAAAAACCTTGAAGACATAGGGGTAGGTACACAATTCATGAACAGGACACAAACTACCCAGGAAATACTTCCCAGAATCAATAACTGGGATCACCTCTTATTAAAAAGTTTCTGCATGTCAAAAGAAATTTCCAGCATAGTGAAAAGAAAACCCACAAACTGGGAAAAAAATCTTAGTGAACTCTCCCTCAGATGAAGAGCTTCTGTCTAAAACATATTAAGAGTTTTAAAAAATCAGACCCCCCAAATTCAAAGATCCAATCCAAAATGGGCATCTGAGATGAATATATAATTCTCAGATGAAGAAATACAA